TAGAGCCCCCACCGCCCCTACTCCCCGCCCCCACCACCTCTGCAAAGTGCCTGAGCTCACCCAGTGGCGGCTAATAATGCTAATAACGCGACCCTACGCCCCGCTCCTGGGTGCGCGCTGGCCCCCCGCCAGGCACTCTTAAAGGCACAGGGGCCTGCCGCGCTCCGGTTACCCCGCCGGGACAAATCTAAGACCTGGCCTCGGATGAATGTGGGCTGGGGGATGTGCTGTTATGGGGTAGTTGACCCAAAGACTCATTGCCGGCGTTCCCGATCAAGAAGTCCCTTTCCTCTTTCCCAGCCCTGGCCATCCACACAACTCCCGAGTGCCCGCGCAGTGGGCTCTTGATAAATATTTGTTGAATTGAATCACTATCCTGTTACTGAAATATACGTAGTAAATTGCACTCGAAGTTCTCAGGGTAAAAGGAAAGTCGTCCGTGAACCGCACTGTTTTTCTGCCGTGGCTCTCCCCACTTTTTCTCCAAAGTCCGAAAACTTTGCAGAATGGTCGCGACGATGAGAAGAGGTCTGCCGGGACGCAGAGGCAATGCACGGAGATTAGGGGACGAATGGGTAGGGAGTCCCTGGCAGCGACGCTGGGGTTCTAGCTTCTCCAGGCGGTTGGAGAAATAGAGGGGTAGGAAGAAGTGGAGGGAGAATTCAGTTAACTTCCAAAAGAAAAAAAAAAAAAAGTAAAGAAAAAAGTGGCGAACGTCGGCGGCGCCCCGAACACCTACCTTCATGGCGAGGGGGTGGGACGAGGAGAGGAAGTCGCACTCGACCGAGGGCAGCCGAAGAATCCGCGCGGAGCAGCCGGGTTAAGCCTGGGGTGAATCACTGGGATCAGGGTTGCAGAGTTCTCTGGGCGCGTCGGGCGGGCGCAGTGAACCGGGGCCGGAGCGCACACCAGCGCCCGGGTCTGAGCCCCCGACTGGGGCAGCGCTGTAAGGCGCCCAGGAACCGATGCGGCGCCGACGCGCGCTGACCCGCAAGGGCAGGGCCGGGCCGGGGCGCAACCAGGAAACCGCGGGTCCGGCGAGGGCGCGCAGGCAACTGTTCCGCAGCGAGGCGCTCCCTCTCCAACGTCCATCAGCGACGGCGGTAATTAGGGCTTTCCAACCCCAAATGTGGGCGTGATTGTGCAAAAGACTTTACAACAAATAAAAAAAAAATCTTCACAAGAGGGTGAAAAAAATGCCCACTACTCAATTCTGGCCTGAGGCGGAGGAAGAGGGGGGTGATCCGTGTGCCCAGGTGCCCCCAGTTCATTCACACCATGGATTCTGCAAACTCCCAGCGACTCACGCCTCCCGATCTCCAGCTCCTCCTCTCTGGGTCTGTGTCCGAAACGTCTGCTTCCAGGCGCTGATCCTGCCGCCGCGAGTCAGAGTGTGGACGTCTGTGTACACACACAGACACACACCCAAACACACCCCCCACACACTGCAGCTTTGGGGCCACAGAGCAATCAGGCGCGCAGGGCTTTTTCTCCGGGAGATGCCGCTGAGAATGCACAGGTCGCCATCAGAGCTGCAAGAGTCAGCGCCAGATTTTGTCCTTTCATTTTACGGCTTGGTAAAAATGGGCGCAAAATGGGTGAAAGTCGCCCCGAACTTTCTGCCGCTCGGTAGGTGGGGGGGTGATGGGCGATTGCTCTAGGGGAGATGCTGGCTCTCCCCCAGCGCACCCCCCTTTTTTCTCTTTTCGGGTTAATCTCCCTCTTTTCCCCGCCTTTCCAGGGCGAAGGGCGAAGAGGAGCGAGGGCACCGCGAACGCGGGGCCGGGCAGGGGCGAGAGCTTGGGGCTCCGCGGCGGCGACTCAGCTCCGGCGGTCCATGGCCGGCGAGGCTGCCCACCTCCTGGTTTGGCGCCCGGGTCCGAGGGGCGGGAGAGCAGGCAGGCGAGTGGCG